TTCGAACCGCTGACCTTAAGGTTCGCAGCCCGATTCGTAACCACTACGCTACCAGAGCTCAACCTAGTAAATCCTATGGGGCAGTTCTGTTTTGGCCTATAGGGTTGCTACGAATTGGAGTTGACTCAATGGCACAGAACAACAACAACACATACATTATTCTTGTTTATGCAAAAAATATTTTTAAATTGTTCCAAAGAAACCATTGCCTCTGGGAACTAAGGAAAGTTAACACTGGATACCAGAGGGGGAGGGTGCAGGCTTTTCACTCTAGACACCTCTATATTTGAAAATTTTGCCACAAGCATATATCACCTATCTAAAAATAACAATGAAAATTTGAAGAGGCAAGGAAAAGGAAGGAATAGAATGAAATATTCCTGTTCTTTCCCCTTAATTTATCTCATCTACCTCCTGGTTCTTCCATCACAGTAATTAGCACTTAGATCCTTACCAGAGTAATTACCCACTTTATCCCTTAAATGAGCTTTGCCAATGCGTATTTGGCTGATTTTGTAATAAAATCAAGTTGTAATCACAGATATGTGAGCCAAATAAATAACCCTTAAATTAAACAAGCACAAATTCTATTTCAAAGAAAGTTTGAAAGTAAGTCCTTTATCTAGAGGAAGATTTATAGTATTTCCCTTAACTTAGTTAGAACAGCTTCTAAGATTGAATCCTATAGATTGGTAGGTTTTAGTACTTATTTATTTATTAGCTAATTAATTCAACAAATATTTATCGAGCCTATTTTCAAGAAATTGTGCTAGACCCTGGGGAGAAAAATATGAAGAGAAGAATAGCTATCTCTTACTGATTTACTCTTGATCAAGAAAACATTTGAGCAAGTCATGTTGAGGCATACAGTTAAAGAAAAACTAAGAAAGTCTACCACCTTTTTGTTTCTGTTATGAATTTAACATTATAACAAATTCTCCTCTTCTTTTCTTTTGCTCCTTTGTAAACTGTCCCATCCCTAACTTCTTTTTGAGCAAGTTGGATATTGCTGAACACTTACGGTGGGCCAGGAGTTTTATATAAATTACTTTATGTAACTCTCACAATGACTTCAACTAATGTCTTATTTGGAATTCTGGCACAGTAGGATAAGCATTGGACTGCTAACCACAGGTCAGCAGTTTAAACCCACTAGCCACTCCTTAGAAACACTATATAGAACTAACTTGATAGCATTTGGCATTTACATAATGCCTTATTTAAATCTTCTTGTTGCTGCTAGCGAACACTGAGTTGGTCCCAACTCATAGCAACTCCATGCACAATGATCTTGGACCTTGTAAACCATACATAGAGTTTCCATTGGCTGATGTTCAGATAGCTCACTAAGCCTTTCTTCCTATAGTGGGTTTTAGTTTGGAAGCTCTGCTAAAGTCTGGTCAGCATTAGAAGCCCATTCCCACTGAGTCTATTCTGGCTTACAGTAACCCCATAGGACATAACATTCCTTATGGTTTCTGCAGACAGCCTCATCTTTCTCCTGCAGAACAGCTGATTGGTTTGTACCACCTTGCAGTTAACAGCCCACAGTGCCATCTGGGCTCCTTTTAGGCATCATGTTCTTCTTGTTGTTGTTAAGCGCCATTGAGTCAGTTCTGACTCATAGTAACCCTGTATATGGTTTCCAAAGAGTGGCTGGTGGGTTTCAACTGCCAACCTTGGTGGTTAACAGTCCAGTGCTTATTCTACAGTGCCACACCAGGACTTGCTTGGGAAATATTGTTGTTGTTAAGTGCGGCCGAATCGGTTCCAACCCATAGCGACCCTGTACACGGTTTCCGAGGGTGTAAATCTTTACGGGAGTAGAAAGCCTCATCTTTCTCCCGCAGAGCGGCTGGTAGTTTCGA